TACCTCACAAATTATATTTGAACATTTAAGTCCTTTATAAACAAAAACTTGTATTTAAGAAAGAATTGGAAATTTTAGGTTGGCTTCCAAACACTTAGTTTAATAATTTTTTAAAAGGGGATATTTTATGTTTTTTTTTTTTTTTTTTTTTAAAGTATGGAACTCAAAGAGATTAGCTGAAATTATGCCAACTTTCCAGTGTAGAAAAGGCAAATTAAGTCTCTGTTATAGTACTCCCTTATCATTGTCAATTAGCTAAAGAGAAACCCCTTTTCCACCTTTTAATTATGGCAGCACCCTATAAGATCTTCAGTGAGCAGGGGATGTGGCGCACGCCTGTGATGCCAGCACTTTGTAGAATGAAGCAATAGATGAGTTCAAGGCCAGCTGGACTACAAAGTGAATTCAAAACCAGTCCAAACTACATAGGGAGATGCTGTCTCAAAAAGACAAAACAATTAAATGAAAAAACCATAAGTGAAAACTGTTTTTTTCTTCTTTAAACCAATCTTGCACATTTATATCTGGTAACCTAACAACTAATTTAGAGATAACATCATGCAATACAGCAAACATTGTTGAATTCCTATTACTTTGTGTAGTGAAATTTTGTATCATTTCTAAAGCTGTTTTTTCTATTACCATTTTATAATCTTTAAAGGGAAAGAAAACCCCACAAGGCAATGCAATGAAGATGTCAACAACTTTGTCTTACTGCAGACCTGTTATCCCTTTCTGGCATAAACTCTGAATTTTCAGTAGCCTAATAACTTGGCTTATATAACATATTCTCAATCTTATTTCCCAACTGTTTGATTAAAGTGACATGAGGGGAAAAAAATTCCAACTCTTCAAAGGCCTATGAAACGGCTATGTTCCAGACATGATCATTCTAATCTGGTGTCCATTTATTCCATTCCATTCCATTTATTCCTTGAACTCATCAATGCATTTGCACATGTTGTTCTTCCTGCCTCAGAAATCGTCTTCTTAGGGGCTGAGGAAGGAAGCACTATCCACAACGCCCCAGCACTTCTCCTCTAACTTTCCAGATTCAGCTCATTGGTTTCTTCCTTAGGGTTCTCCATGGTGGGAGTGGGCAACTCTATGTATCCACAGTGCATATGAACAATAGTACTTGTCACATGCTGTAATTATTATCCTCCCTCCAGAGAACAAATGTCTTCTCGCTCAGCACTGTGATGCTCAATGTCTCACCATATAAAGAAATATACAAGTAACGCAGAAATGGGGGAATCTGCTACAGTGATTTCAAGTCCAATGTGTACAGTGAAAGAAACTTACCTCTCCACTTCCTATTACTATAAAAGATTTGTTGAAGACTGAGTAATGATGTAGAAAAATCATTTTAAAAGGTTATTTCAAATTCTGCTGATGAATATTCAAGAAAAAATATTGCATGATGTTAGAAATGATAGTGCAATTGGAGATCAGGTTTAGCACCCTGATTTTGAAGATGAAAATTTGGGTATCTCTACCAGTATGATGATGGAGAAGTCTTCTAAGTCCTATTTTTCTATTTAATGAAATGAAGAACTTAGTAAGAAAAAAATGGGGTTAAAGAAATGGACTTGAGATTTTAGGGGAACTTTGAAATTTAGATTCGAGTAGTGGCTCTTCATGTGTGGCTCCACAACCAGGAGCATCACCTGGAAACAACAGAAGGGAATTTTCCCTCCTACCCCAGTGCCACAGAATCAGAAATGTGTTCTGAAAAGCTCTGGGTAATTCTGATGCATGCTCAGATTGATAAGCACTGGGGTAGAATTTCACTAAATGTTAGAAAAAAACTACATTTATGTGCAGTGGCTTAAAGGGGAATAGAAACTGTGATTCAAAATCAACTAAGCAAGGGGCCAGGGAGATGGCTCAGTGGAATAAGCACTTCCCTGGCAAGTGTAAGGGCCTGAGTTCAATGCCCGGTTCTGCAAAAAAAACCCAAAAAATCAACTAAGCAGAGAAAAAAACTTCAAGGCAGCAGTGGTGAGAATCTACATTGTGCTATCAGTATCAATGAAAATAATAAATATTAACATTTAAAAATTGAGGTAAGATAACTAAAAGCTAAATAAAGTTAATTCTTGAGCTCTCATGCTCATGAATGAAGGGAAGAAACACAAAAATGGAGACCAAGCCAAATGAAAAGATTTCTTCTTTTTTTTTAAAGACTTCATTTTTGGAGGGTGACTTTCTTCCTTCATGAGGACCCAAAAGAAATGATACATAAGACTCACCTGAATGTTGATCATTAACCTAACTAGAATTGGCAAACCTAAATACTAGTAATGATACTATATTTAAATGAATGAGATCTGTTTGGGGAGTATTGGGAGGAAGCTAGTATTCATGGATTCATTGAGACTCACAAGAATCCTTGAAGGTCGGCTGTGGCGGCTCATACTTGTAATTCCAGCTACTAGTGAGGCTGAGGCAAGAAGACACCAAGTTTGAACCCAGCCTGCAACATGGCAAAATCCTATCTAAAATAAACAAATAAATAAATGGGGCTAGGACCATAGTCAATGAGCAGCTTAAATCCCCAGTACCAACCAAAAACAAGAGCAAAAAAAAGTTTGGCTACTCAATTTTACAAAAAAGATAATAAAAGCCCAAAGTACCAAGTTTTACCTGGGTGCACACAGCTATTTTAGTGCTTTACTTTCCATTTGGTTTTAAATTTGAGGTCTAATTTGAAGTTTAGTAGCTTCTTCTCCCCTGTCCACCTTCTGAAAAACACTGGAGGACTCTTGTGAAAATAAAATGAAAACAACAGAGATGTTTGGTAATGCAAAAAAAAAAAAAAAAAAACCCGTGTATTACATTTTCAGGTAAGAATTTAGGTGTGGTGGTATGGATTTCAATTACTAAACTTAAGCCACAAAACTTAGATATAAAAGACTCATTATTCCCAATGAAAATAACACACATATATCTGAATCAGCCTTCTAATTCTGCAGGTTAAATATCTAAAGTCTAATAAACAGGGCTTTACCATGCACAGGGACCTTTCTGACAAAACTTGTCAGTAAGGACTATAGGCCTCACCTCTGCATGGCTCCAGTGTGGAATGCTGTGGCAATGGATGGGTTACTAAATCAACACGTTTGGGTGTTAGCTCTAGGAGGATTACAAGCTTATTTTAAAGTATTATTATTTTTTCAGAACTGGGGAATTGAACTCAGGCCCTTGTGCTTGCCATGGAAGCGCTTATTCTACTGAGCCATCTCCCCAGTCCCAGGATTACAAGTTTAAACCTGAGCAATTTAGTTAAACTGTCTCAAGATTAAAAAAACGAAACAAAACAACCAGAAAGGGCTGGAGATATGGTTCGGTGTGGGCACCAAGACTTTTGAGGAATTCATATTTGCACGTTCTCCATTTTTCTTGCTAATGCCTCAAACACCAAAGCCCTGAAAGAGGGCAAGAGGGTAATTAAGGGACATTTTTTGTCCTTGGACATCCCATCCTTGTTACTGGCAAGTCAACGATACAGCTGCACAACCTTTACCTCAGTCCTAGCTCTGGGAACAGTCATCTTCCCTGAGCAGGATCAGCCCCAGGGCTGTGGGGCAGCGGGGCCACAGAGCTTCCCCTTCTGACTGCAGGGTGCCACCTCATCTACTTCTGTCATGCCAGGCTCTGGCTTCAGTGTCAAAACCCAAAATGACTCAAGGCACTGGTCAAGGTGGCACCAGAGTTTTAGTCTTCTTGTCTCTACATACTATACATTCGGGCCTTCTGGATCCAAACCACCCCTGAAAGCCTATTTCTCATGGCAGGCAGGATGTCCAACTCCAAGACTGCAGGCTCAATAGGTCTTGCCAGCCCAGATGGTACAGTGCAATGAGCTCATTCTTGTTTATGGTTGGTGCACATGTATGATGGAAATTTGTTACCCAGTTTGTCAGTGAGCTGCTTCTCTTTCAGTTCCCTGTTAGTTAAAAGGGTTGGTATGAGGAAGGTAGCAATTATAAAAAGGAGTTGTAGAACCGAACCGAACCAAACCAAACCAAACCAGTATTGGATCATGGGAAACAGGATGGCTCCAGCAAAAGGAGTGTGCTACAAGTAGAACTCCAATTATTTTAATTTGTATCTTAATACAAAAATCTTAATGTCAAGATGGTCCATGAGAATTATGGGAGATGGCATGTGGAGACACTATATTCAGCCTAATATATTTATACAAAAATAAATTCATTTAAAAATCATGTTTCAACTTTTTGTACTTATAACTGTGTAACCAGTTTTTGAAGTGATATGTACAAAAAAGATCTGGGGCTGGGGAGATAGCTCAGTAGAATAAGTGCTTGCCTGGCAAGCGCAAGGGTCTGAGTTCAATCCCTGCTTCTGCCAAAAGAAAAAAAGAAAAAAATCATATACTAAACTTTGTCCAAAATTTAAATCTTGCCAAATTTTCAACCAATTTTAACCCCTGGTGTCCAAAGTTCAATAATTATCATATAATAAAAAAGCAGCAATACGTAAGCCCCAGGATGGAGGGAGGATTTCTCGTTATGTTTTCTTTTTTCTCTGCTTTGTTTTCTCAATCTCTGCATTCCACTTTAAACAAGACTGGTAACTTGTGTTAGATCCACAACCTCAGCTCTGTCTATGGTGCCAATTCTCCTTGCCCAAGGATGACCTAGATCACTACTTCTAATAGGCAGCCTAGAGTTTATAAATTATGAAGGCTAGTCTTAAGAATAAAATGAATAAGGGCTGGGCAGATAGCTCAGTGGATTAAAGCGCCTGCTTAGGCAGAGCACAGGGACCAGGGTTCGATCCCCGGGTGGTATGGCATGGCAGCCTTGCCCCTGAGGTGCGCTGAGATGGCAACTGAGACTGGGCATGGTGGTGCGCATCTGTAATCCCAGCGCTTGGGAGGCTGAAAACAGGAGGATCACTAGGAGTCTGATCTGTGTAGTGAGACCCTGTAGGTCCTGCACTAAATCCATTAAAAAAATTAAAATAAAAAAATGAATTAATCATTTCTTATTTATTTAAGCTTTTTACAAGTTTTGAAAATTTTTTAAATATATAAGCCAGTGAATCCTCTTTTATAAAATAACCATTTGACACATGATAATAAAAAATGATTTAAAAGCTGACTCATTGTCTTATGACCGTATCTGTTTCAACTGTGGCTAATTTTCTTGTATTTAATCATGAAGTTTCTGGAAGATGGGTTAGATGATGAAAAAATGGGCGGCCATGAACACACCCTTTAATTTCATTTCCAAACTGGTGCTTCATTCTACTGATAATATCTTGGATGTCCTCTTGCGATAAGTACATGGGCAATTGTCTAGACAGTCGAACTGCTTCTCCCTGTGAAGAAAAAGCCATACTTTATTTACCCTGAAGCAGAAAGCACATTTTCCTAGCAAGAAGGCAAAATTATGTTCATCTTGGGGCCGGGAAGATGGCTCAGTAGAATAAGCGCTTGCCTGGCAAGCACAAGGGCCTGAGTTCAATTCCCGGTTCTACCAAAAAAAAAAAAAAAAAAATTATGTTCATTTTATTCATTCACACAACAAGTATCTATTAAGCATTGACTATGTTGTAGGTTCTAGAGGTAATACCGGCAAACAAGAAAACAAGGCCTTTACTCTTGTGAAATTTATCTTCTAGAGCAGAGAAACAGAAAACAAAAGACAGAAAAATTTATTGAGTAAATAATATACAAAATTAAATTTAGCAACATGATAGATAATAACTGCGTAGTTAGGAAAAGCTTCCTTGAAAAAATGCCAGTTAGACTTCTATTTCAACTCTCAGGCACAGAACATGGGGAAGGAAAATCTTTTTAGGCAGGGGGAACAATAAAAAAGTTCAGTGTATTTTAGCCATTATTAAAGGGAAGACACAGCACCTTTTTAGGCAGAGGCAAGGGTAAAAATACAGAGAAGGAACCAGATAGGGTTTTGTTGCTGCTGTTATTCTTTTTGAGACAGGGTCTCACTACATAGTTCAGACTGGCCTTGAGCACTTTATTCAATCTCACAGCAATCCTCCTCCTCCTGAGTGCTGGGATGTACAGGTGTGCAGGTATGCATCACCACATCCTGCTATCAGAGTTTTTAGGCAAAAGCCTGACATCTAGTTCACATTTTAAAGCAATCAGCCTGGCAATACGTGAAGTATGGAAGCAAAAGCTCTTGCTGACACTTAATGAAGTGAGGCTGTGAGGCAGGTGATACTAACTGAAAAGGAAGGAGGTACAGACAGTCTGAGTTTGTGGTAGTCACAAAATCGGAAGGATCACAAGTTCAAGCCCAGCCTAGGTAACCCAGTGACTTAGCAAGACCCTGTGTCAAAATAAAAGGCTTCAGATTTAGCCCTCTGTTCAATTTCTAGTACGACCAAAAATAAAACAAATGTAAAAAGATAATGCATACATGGAGGATAATTTCCACAAATTTGGTATGTTAATATTTTTCTGAAACAGAAGGAACTGATGGTTTGGGGATAAGACGATGTTAACAAAACTTTTTTTCTTTTAATATATTTATTTTGCTTTGAGACAGGGTCTCGCTGTGTAACTCAGGTTGGCCCTGAACTCACTATGTAGCTCAAGCAGGCCTCAACCTGTGGCATTCCTACCTTCACCTCCCCAGTAGTAAGATTATAGGAGTGTGACACCTGCCTCTCTACTTCTAATATATTTAAAAATATATATTATGCTTCAAACATCTTGAATCTCAACACTATTCATTTTAACCAAACATCCACTGTCTTTCCAAACATTCTCAACTCCAACTAATCCTGCTTTTTCTTCACTCTGATCTTCCTTCTCCAATCCCTCCCTGTGCTCCTGACCTAACAGCACCATGCTGTCATCCTCCCAAGTGAAGGCAGAAATACACAGAGATAAGGACACTAAGCTCTAAGACTTAACATGTCTCTTGTGTATAAGGTATTCCTATTTCTCTGTCATGCTCTTTTCCTATCCATCATAGCCATCTTGCCAACCTCTGTTTTAGGACAACTCTAGCAAGCACAACTGGAGAGCTGTGAAACTGTTTTGAATACATCCACAGCACAGATGAGCTCTCATGAGTCCTCAGTGACACCTGGAAATCTCTATGTTCACAACAGAGCTCCTTCTCGGTACTTTGTTACTGTACTCACATTCCTCATGCTTTGCCAATCCCCTCTCTTTTACCCTTACATATCAGGCATAACTTTTCTCCAAGTTCAAAGGTTAAGATTATTCTCTTAATCTAAAAGTATCCTTTCACCTTTTCCTCTTCTGCTCAACTCAGAAACAGCAACTCCCTCAGAAAGCTAATCTTGACATTGCTACCTCCTTTGGAACATTTGTCCTCCAGTGTGTTATTCTCTTTTGCACCGGGTCAGTACAAACAGGTTAAATATACTATTCCCTTCCTTGCATTATCACGTGACTTGCTGACATTATGTTTCCCCAAACCATTCTACTCTTGGACCCCTGAAAATGCCTGCCACTCATAGCACACTGCCAGTTTAGCTCTCCTCAAGGTCACCACTGTGCTATAGCAGCCATGCCTGTAGTCTTCCGGCAGCAACCACTGCCATACATGGAAGATGATAAAAATATTTATTTTTAAAATTTCTGGGGTGGGGAGATAGCTCAGTAGAATAAGTGCTTGCCTGGCAAGCGCAGGGGGTCCTGAGTTCAATCCCTGGTATCAAATAAATATCTTGGTCTTGACTGTCCAGCAGAAAAGTATAAAAACGAGGTATAAAAAGTAAAGCCATATTAATATGCTGAGCTGTAAAAGGCTCAAGTCAACAACTTCTGACATTGCCAGTCTTATGGAAAACCCACTACTGTTATGGACTACTAAACTATACTGGAATATTTTACTGAATTCACGTACATACAATATTTATTTATTTTTTAAATTAATTTTGAGAAATAGATATCAATGAGACAGTTTCAAAACCAATTAATAGGACAGTTTCAATAATTAATACAATGCATATTGTTATCTTCTTAGTGGTTTTTCATAGTGCAAGATGCAGACATGATATCCTGTCCAAATACTATTAGTACAAATCTTTCTTCCCATCTCTGACAAAACTAAACAAAAAAGGGGATACAAATGAACAACCATTTTGTATCTGTATATTCAAAATAGCTGGGATAGACATATAGCTGCATTCTCTTAATTCAATGAAGAGAGATTTGTTCTAATAGTGTCTGTGGACAGGGTATCATGTCTGCATCTTGCACAATGAATAACCACTAAGACAATAATATGCAATGTATTAATTATTGACACTGTGCTAGTAATCAGTTTTGAAACTCATTGCTATTTGTTTCTCAATAAAACTATTTAAATAGATAAATAAAATAAAATTTCTTTCCTTGGTTGGCTTTTCTATCTTTTGGTTCTTCTTTCACTATACTGTCTGTACCTCTGATTTACCTTATTCAGACTGGTCTTCAGTGGAAGTATCCTTCAGTTCAGACTTAGGTTCTCTTTTTTCCTAGAAGCTTATCTTAGCAATCATATCCACAGTCTAAGATGTGAAACTTTAATAGAATTCTTTTAAAAATAGTACTTTCCTCTTGCAAACAAACCCTATAGAAACTACCTGTTTTACTATTCTTAAACCATTTACTATTTTATTAAAGAATAACTAAGTGATTTGAACCCTACGCAACTTGCCTAATCTAACACTACTTACCTCTAAATAACTTATCACTTTGCGAGGTCTACATTCATAAATTTCCTTTGCATTTTTGTTTACTATAGCATTAAGAATTTCTTTTAAATCCATTAATCCATAGAACGGGAGACAATTAGCCATTCCTTCTATTTCCAAGTAGTTTTCAGCTGTAGAAACTCCTGAAAGAAAAACACCAAACAAATACAGACTTAAATTTGTTTAGTTAAAATTATATTCCAGAACATATCCATTAAGAAAAACCACTGGTAAAACATTTAGTGAACTTCCACCAGAATTTAATATGGTCAGGCAGTTTTGTTCCTTAGTTGGAAAACAAATAGTGTTTTCCCATAGGGTTTCACATTAAGTCATAAGTGCTCACTGACACCACATGTCCTTTATATAATTTTATTTAATCTCAGTTACTGCTGGTTTGGTCTTTATATTTGTTTAGAACATTTCTTACTTTGGAGAGAAAATGAAGTCCCATGATACTCATTAAAATACAACTGGTTAAAATGTTTTACCAAATGTTGCTCTTCAAGTTCTATCCCATTGACTTAATATCTAATCTAAAGGCCTGGATTATTTTGTGATTATTTCAATTTACAAGTTATGAAACAGTCAGACTGTAACTTACTAATGTACAATTAATTTGAGGAAATTAAATACTAATGTTTATTCAAAACAGTTCATCAGGACAATGTTTAAAACTGACATGTTATCTTTTAACTATCTTAAATAACTTAATTAAAACTAAAAAGTAGCCAGATGATTCACTGAACAAAAATGGATAGATAATTCCTAAAAACACACATTCCAAAGCATCAAAATTTGGCTTTAGAATACTACATATTTAGGAAAATAGCAGAGATTTGTCTTTAGATACATGCCTACAACAATGCACTTACTGCTGAAATCTAAATCATGTCACCTGAAAGAGAGGAAAAATGGGACAGTTCAACCTTGAATAATCTTGGATAATTCATTATCAATGAATTAATTTAAAGTTCTTTTTTTTTTTTTTTTTTTTTTTTTTTGGTGGAACCGGGGATTGAACTCAGGCCCTTGCACTTGCCAGGGAAGTGCTTATTCCACTGAACCATCTCCCTGGCCAAATGAATTAATTTAAAAAGAGGTGCTTCCAAGTGTATTGCCAGTTGCTCGGGAGGCAGAGGCAATAAATAGGCTCACAAGTTTGAGCCAGCCTGGGCAACATGGTGAGCTCTGTTTGAACTAAAAAATAAAGAGGGCTGGGGATGTAGTTTAGCACTAAAGCACTTGTCTAATATACAGAAGATTCTGAGCTCCAGCCCCAGACTAGGGGAATGGGGGGAGGAAAGGAAAAAGGAAAAAGAACAACAGAAGAGAAGAGGGGAGGGGAGGAAAGGGAGGAGAAAGGCAGAGAGACAGAGCACTGTGATATATTTGATAAGCTTTGGATCCTGCAAATTCAAATATCTATAATCCCTAAACTGTTCCTTGCCCTGACCTGGAGGGAGAGTGGTGGGAGACTTAACATAAGAGAGCAAGTATGGTTTTCTAGGAAACAAAACTCCTTAAGTGTGTTTTGAAATAAAGTAGGCAAGCAGGAAGGGGCAAATATTCTAGTTCATATTTATACAGATGCCAAAATGTCCCCAAGAATCAGTCTTTCATTGTAACTAATTCTACTAACTACATCTGCTCTGAATGTGCAACACGTCACAGAATTACTGGTAGGTAAGGGTTAAAAGTACTTGGCCACAAGTGAGAAAACAGCAGTGAGTGACACTTGGAACTATGTTATAAACTTTCAAGAAATTTCATAAAATTCAATGAAATTCTTTCCAGTTTTTCAAGGAAAACAAGAAAGTGGCTAGGTAAACTTCTACTTCTTTTTTTTTTTTTGTGGAACTGGGGATTGAACTCAGGCCCTTGCACTTGCCAGGGATGCGCTTATTCCACTGAGCCATCTCCCCAGCCCCACTTCTACTTCTTAAAAATACAAAATTCTTACAAAAAGAAAGCTATTCCCCTCAACGAGCAGTTTTTATGGCCACATTGAGCATCTTTTCCTTCAAATCAGATTTTTTTCTTTATCCATATCCAAAATGTTGTGTGACAAATGGACAACTGTTGATTCAGCTACAAATAAAATTTTCACTAAATGAGACATGGTCCTTGAGGAAACACAACCTAACTTCAAAATTGTCTCTCCCTCCCTCTCTTAACCTCCCTTTCTCTTTCTTTCTGGTGTTGGAGTGCGACCCCCTGGCCTTTGCACTGAACTACCTCTCCAGCTCTTTTATTCTGAGTCAGGGTCTTCTGGGTTGCTAAGCCCCCTAAGCTGGGCTCGCGCTTCCTCCCTCAGACTCACAGTTGCTGGGGGTACAGGTGTGCAACACCATGGCCAGCTGTGCTCTGCTACCGACAAGGCAAAGAATGCTGTTCATATTCTATATATAGGGGCTGGGGAGATGGCTCAGTAGAATAAGCGCTTGCCTGGCAAGGGAAAGGGCCTGAGTTCAATCCCCGGTTCCACAAAAAAAAAAAAAAAAAAAAAACTATATATAGCTAATTCCAACCAAATCAAGTCAGTCTGTAGATTTTTTTCATCTTTGGTGTCCTGCAAAGCACTTGACATCAATGCAACTAAAAAACCACTATCAGCAAGCCAATATTTAAAAGAATCTATCTGGAGAAAAATGTATTGGGCAGCTCAAAACAATAAATACGCTTTTAGGGGGCTGGGGAGATGGCTTAGTAGAATAAATGCTTGCCTGGCAAGTGCAAGGGTCTGGGTTCAATCCCCGGTTCCGCCAAAAAAAAAAGAATAAACTGGGAAATATGCTTTTGGTACAGACTGGACAATTATTTTGTTTAAAAAAGAAAGCACCTGCCAACAATGCCACGTAGCTAACAAGAAAAACAGACCAATAATAAAATATGTTCACATACACTTTGGTTAGTACTTCAAATAAATTAAAAATGTGTCAGCAGCCCTGAGGAAGGCTTCTAAGAGGATAAAAATAATTGCCAGCCAGGCAGGATGGCACACGCCTATAATTTCAATGCTTGGGAAGCTGAGGCAGGGGGATCACAAGTTTGAGCTCACCCAGGACTACAAGAGTTTGAGGTCCTCCTTGGGTAACACAGCAAGATTCTCTCTCAAAACAAAACCAAAACCCATACAAAACTGCGTATCAATTCAGGTACTAAGAAGAAGGTGCAAGACGGGTCAAAGAAAGTCTGGACACCTATGCCACTGCTGAGTACTAGGCTCACTGACTTATATTACCTCATAACATGGTGCCCCAAACTGTTATATGAAGTTAACGACCCAATTTTAATAGGAAAGCAATCTAACAAATGGTTAAGAGCTAGACTCTAAAAGTATACTGCTGGTGTTCAAATCCTGTTACTACACTGTGTCCCCTACACAGAATCTAACTGCCATGCCTACGGCTTCCATCTGTACAGAACCTATGTCACAGGCTAAGGGAGATTACAATGCAGTATCTCTCCAGACTAGTACTCTACACGGAACAGTTACTGAAGAACTATTACTGATGACAAACAGTGAGAGCAACTGACTTTCACCAAGACACAGTACGCCTCTGAGTACATGATCTGTACCGCCAAGTCCAAACAGAAGTGAGGAGAGGCGGGAAATTTAGGATGGGCAATTTTAACACTGCAAGCACCACATGAAAGGACTGTACATGGAGAACATCCAAACACTCTCTGCCTATACCCAGCTCCATGATCTTGTACACTTTCTTCTACACTCCGGTGTATGACCAGTTTAGAGGCAGGAGAGGTGACAATGGAGTCATTCCTCATGGGCCCTGATGCAACCTGACAAGAGATGAGTACAAATAGGACAACTCCAGCCTCGGAAGCTGTGGCCATAGCTTAGTAAGGAGATTGTGAAAGAACAGAGAAGGGCCAGCAGGGAAAACTAACTTCTCTTAGAAAAATGTCTTCTATCCACCCGAGTAATTTCCTTATGAGGCAAAGAGGCCCGTCAGTCTTCCAACAAAGCTGTGGACTCCAATCCCCATCTATTCTCTAAGTAATATACTGCTTATGCTATGTGGCTACTTGGCAAAACAAGTAAAATTTTTTTAAAGGTAAAGAACATATCCATTTTTATTAGGCTGTGCTGGTAGCCTACCTATGGCTGTAATTCCAGTAGTCAGGAGGCTGAGGTAGGAAGGTCAAGGTCTCAAGGCCACCATGGGCTACATGGTGAGACACTATGCTCACCCCCAAAACTATATTTTACAATTTAAAGCAGGCAATCTACATATTATACAAACAATGACAAAACTTACAATAAAATTAACTATCTGATCAGTTAGGAAAATGGAGATGCAATTTATTAGACTGAAACAGACATGAAATTTGATTTTTTTCAGGCACAAGTAATCTTTAAATGAGTCTATCTTTACAAGACTAGAGGTGATTTTTAATGAGATGAAAATAGACCATGACACCTGAAAATTATGAAACCCAAATGCCATTGTTAAAACACATCTATTTGGGCCGGGGATATGGCTCATTGGAATAAGCGCTTCCCTGGCAAGCGCAAGGGCAAGGCCTGAGTTCAATCCCCGGTTCCACAAAAACAACAACAACAACAAAAAAACACATTTATTTTCCTAAGTCAGAAGACATTAAATCCATTACCATACCTGGTATAAATTTTATTTTGAAACCATTTGCTGTAAGACGAGGATCAGATAGGTAAGTTGATCCATTGTATCTCTGGCCATCTGTTGTCATTTTATATAAAACCTCTAAATAACGAGATCCATTAAAAAGACTGAAAAAGAAATTATGGCTCATTAGGTTACTAAAAATGCAGATTAAAAACAAGAATTTAAAAAATGAATTCAGGGGCTGGAAAGATAGTTCAGTAGAACAGCAACTGTCTGGCAAGCATAAGGTCCCGAGTTCAACTCCTGGTACCACACACACATAAAAAGTGTATCCAAGGACCTTTTATTTTATTTTTTTGTGGAACCGGGGATTGAACTCAGGCCCTTGCGCTTGCCAGGGAAGCGCTTATTCCACTGAGCTATCTCCCCGGCCCCCAAGAACCTTTTAAAAAACATTATTATCCAAAATATAAATGTTTAGCCCTTCAAGAAACATTTTACATATTTGTTCCTACTTTATAAAGATCTACTACATACAATGTAATGTACGGAAAGGAAAAAAAGACATAAAAGATAATATCTATCTTCTAGAATATTACAAACTCAATGTAAAATTTAAAAATGGCTCTCCACACGTAAGACAAACAAAAACCTTTATGTATAATAACTTTTAAAACAAAATAACACTGTCAAGTAACTCAAGTAGTTTATCCTGTTAAATTTTCAATTCCTAGAGAAGATTTCTTTAGTAACAAAATGACTCAAAATATATCTTTTTCCTGCAGGAAATTTTAGATTCATCAATTCAAGCTTGGGAGAATTTCCTTCATGCTAACCTAAGCATAGATGTTGCCCAAGGTGGTATATGGAGTGATTCTAGTGGTGTAAATCCTAAAGAAAATTTGAGGGAGCCAAATATTATCTAGGGTACAAAATGACCACTCACACTGCTTTTAGCTTTAGTCAGACTACCTCCTAATAGTTGCAAAAGCTAATAAGCTAGTAAGTGAATATTGATCCTTTTCTTATTCTTTCAATAAATATTTGGGTGTTTTATTATGTGGCAGATACTGTCCTAAGTATGCTAGGGACTGCTTTATGTCCCAGGGCAGGACGATACTCTCTTTCATTACATTTCTATATACTCTGAAAACACAAAGGAAGCAGGTATGGTGGCACAAGCCTGTAATTTGAGCCACTTGAGGCTGAGGGAGGAGGTTCAAGTTCAAAGTCAGCCTTGTCCCAAAATAAATTTAAGAAGGGATGCACCTTGAGACCACAATGTTACATGAACTAGATCAAGCAAACTAACTTAGATCTCCCATGACTTATATGAGAAAATTAAAAGTGTAAATAAGGAGCAAAATAAAAGAAGTAGGAGATAGACCTTTCTCCAATGGGAAAGGGGGATCAAGAAATGAAGGGAAAGGCGGAGGAAAGGGAGAAGGTTGAAAAAGGAATGGCCATGTGTTCTATACCTATAACATGCACTGCAAACATGGAAATTAAAAATAATGAAAATTAACTTTTAAATCTTAATAAAATTTTTAAAAGTTTTAAAAAGGGCTCAGGATGTGACTCGAATTGCCTAGCATGCACAAGGCCCTGGGTACAATTCCCACTACTACAGAGATACTAAACAAGGACAGAAAAAGCAAATGAAGGGGCCACCCTGCACCCCTCCCGCTGAGTAGGAATTTCTGCCGACTTCCGGGAACCCCCAGACCCAGTCCTAGCCCAGGTCCGGTGAGTGTGTGGAGAGCTTCCTGCTACCCTGCGC